CGTGTGTTAAAATGAATCCCAGCAGCCTTTTGCAGCAAAAAAACGGTGGATAAACTTTCAGGTTAAGTGGTTCCTGGGTGACTCTGCGTACATAACACTCGGAAAATTCACGTCACTTGTTACAGTAGAAAAATCGCAGTTCTGTTAGCTAGGTCAATGAAAACTCACACGCACACACATAAAAATATTTCTTATTAAAAAAGGAAAAAAAAGGAAAATTTTAATTTTCAGGCGTCTTTTACTCCTTTGCAAATTCCTCTAGCAGCAGATAATATAGTCCAATCTATAAGCGATACTGCGAAATAAGAAGCTTTGAAGGTGGGCGTTTAGCCCGACGTTGTCACTGCCTTCAAAGAACTCTATCAGGTGTTATTTGCAACTACAATAACCACAAAAAGTAACCCAAAAATGCAATATTTGGGGATAAACAAAAATGTGGAGACTGCCGTATCTATTTCCCTAAATACAGTGTAGGTTTCATGGGGCTATATTAGATGGCCATATTTAGGCCTAAACCACGTTGGAGGTTTTGCTGTGGTTTTCAGTTGTGGCAACAAAAAGGCAAGATAGTAGAAAGGAGGTGACCTAGAGCACAAAACCGCATCAAATAATTATTATGTGTAGGCATCAACGTGATGTCCTTGTACCGGCAAGGTGCACTAGAATTGAGGTGGTTACAATCTAATTGTACAATTTTGGGGATATCTCCTTTCAATCCACCAATAGATATGTAGTACGAGGGCCTCCATAAACAATGTATATTCAGTCTGGTATAGCCAAGGTGATATATAGCGGATGGTGGATCTAAAAAGGAGGTTCTTCATGAGATTGTAATGCGTCTGGCCAGCTTATCTGCAGTTCAAGAAGCAGCGAAAGTGCCAGCTATGCCACACAGAGACAACGCAGGGCTAAACGCTCATGCACACCCCTAAAACCCAAAAGATGGCTCAGAATAAAACTGCAGCGTCCGGCTGATGTGATCAACACTTCAGCAAATTTGATTTCTTTGGGCGGTATAGTCAAATTGAGGATCATTACCGCCAATATATGTGTGCACAATCTATACTACACTCCTGTCAACCAATCCACCATTTGCCTTCATGTTAACCGGTGTAGATTGGTTGACATGGACCATCATTTTAAGCATGTATGTGGATCCAGATGCTTAAGCTGAAATCTCTGTTTTAATTGCGTGTATAAATCCCAGGTGCATCAAAACAAAACGTGTGCCCAGTCTTACCATCGGTTTTTCTTTAGAAAGCAGCTACAGTTTGGGTAGAAAAGTCTGGCCCCTGCCAGTATGCTGTAGAAAAGGACCCTTGCTCTGTGGGAAAGCAGTGTTCTTTCTGCAGAGGTCTGACAAACTCCCTACCAAGTCAGAGATAGAGCTCTCCAATTTGTTGAAAGTATAAACTTTGCTGGCTGGAGATCTCTAGCTCTGACTCAGCAAGGGGTGTGTTGGACCTCTGCAGAGAGCACTGCTTCCCTACAAATAGCAAGGGTCCTTCTCTGCAGCATGCCGGTAGGGACAGGCTTTTCTACTCAATGTGTGGCTGCTTTCTAAAGCAAAACACAGCTTAAGACTTTGCGCACCTTTTCTTTTCATGCCGCTGGTATGTATTTAGCAGATTTAAAAACTTAAATGGGCTTTCAGCATATTAAAGCAGAAAGCAGGTTGCTAGCTTCCATTAATTAATATGCATCTATGCAATGCTGAAGCCGAAATGTTTATGGCTTTACTGGTGAGAAACTCCAAAAACAATGATGATTTTTCTGACATTTTAGTCTAGTTCCTGGGACAAAGGACAAAATTGTTTAGTTAAAGTGGAAAACTTGGCCATGCATTATATATATAAAAAAAGAAAAAAGCCTTAAAAATCAAAAAGGATCTGAGGACCTGAGTAACCAGCACGGTGTGATACCTGAATTGTTAAAGGAGTTCATTTGCTTATCACGTCCATTAACTTTTGTTCGATTATATAAAGACTGACTTTTAGCCCTGGTTCACACCTAGGCGGCACTGTTTTTGCGCGTTTGTACATGCGTCAGCAGCATGCGGTTATTTGCGCGTTATGCACATTTGTAGGCGCGTACATGAAGGCGCACGTTTTGATTGGCAGCTCATAAATCATTGTGGGCAATGGAAGAACGTGCGTATAAACGCGCAAAAACGCTCACGGAAATGTGCAACATGCTTCTGTGGCACATTTTTGGGCATTTCCAATGAAGTTTATGGGGAGTAAAAGCGCTTTTTAACTGCCCAAAGAAGCTCCTGTATCTTTTCGGGCGTCTGGCGTTTTCCTGCTAGGCGTTTCTGCTCAGGTGTGAACCAGGGCTATTGAAAATCATGGGATTTCTTGGGTTGGGCAGTTAAAAGCGCTTTTCGAACTGCTCATAAACGCCTAGGTGTGAACCAGGGCTTAAGGTATCCAATCACAACACTCCATGCTACATCAAAGTACAAAATGTATTCACAAAGCTTTACAAACATGAATGTAAAAGTCACATTTTTACATCTATTCTTGTTATCCTTGTACATCATCGATCCTTTGTTCTGCATTTGCAAGCCTCAGCCAATGATTACCCCCAATAATCATTAGATAGGCAATAGATGGGGGTAATCATTGGCTGAGGCTTGCAAATGAAAAACAAAGGATCGATGATGTATATATGTGATTGTTTTAATCTATGTTTGTAAAGCTTTGTGAATAAATTTTGGAATTTGATGTAACAGGGAATGGTGTGATTGGGTATCTTAAAAGTCCCTCTTTAGATAATCTAATGCATTTGAGTCTATGGGATGTGGCACCCCTAAGCCCTATGGGGGAGTAAAACCTCAGTAAATGGATCACATGAACCATTAACGGCTAGCAATCAGATTCTGAAATATCCATATGAACCATATAAATGGAAGCTCTATTCTAAAAATCCAGACCACGTTTCGTTCAAATGTGCCTGGAAGCTAGTCACATCTGTTTGGGTATAAACTTACCTGACATATCAACAAGAGCGAGCCTGCCCAACCACCACCAGCTCAAATGTACAACCTCTTTGCCATGTACAGTTTAATGGGATCCAGCCCCTGTACATTCGTTTAACATATAGAACTCCTACAGAAGCTATATGCACCAACATACGCGATCAGGGCCTTCTAGCTTTAGAGGACATCCTGGGATTCGTAGCCTTATTACAGCTACGGGGCAATATAGTGTTAGGGTAGAGCGTGTTTCAATTTTACCAACCAGTGTTTAACTGACGCACCAAGGAAAGCAACTCATACCAGCCGTAGCACAAGCAGATATATTTTAATTATAACCATCATCACAAACCAGGAAAAAGATAAATAGCTTTTGAATGAAGTCATAATAATATCCATGATCTGTAACAATATAACACTCTTGTACAAACTTTAAATTAGTGCTTTTGCCGATGGCTGGACGGATCGTACATCAGCGAAGACTGCTCAGCTGGTTGGGAAAATATCTAATGCTTAGTGTTGAACGGCATGAAACTTGGCCAGAGTTGGAGGACCTTCAGCAGCTGGCTAACTAGGAATTAGGACATGAGCACACAACAGCCATTATCATAGTCGATTATATCCTAGGGGGAAAGAGAACCTGCATCCCAACCTGGGGATTGAGTAAAATGCTATGTCGGAGGACGCTGCAGCAGCCTTGTGAGGAAAGGTATCTCCACGCTGACCTTTTGTTACCTGACAAAAGGTCAACGGAGACGGCAGCAAAGCAACACAAATACCACACAGCATTCATATTATTTTAAAAAACCTAAATAGTTGAAGTCACGTCTTAGAAAGCAAAAAGAAACTTGTACTCTGATGTGCCCCTGATATTTCCAGAGGCACTCAGAGAGGCCTACACTTTGGGGTGACTTCAGGAACAATTAGTTAAAAAGGAAAAAATGGTGGTGCTGCTTGAGGCAGCCAATGAGAACTCAATGCAACACCACATCTTACAAATCCTTCTATAAAAATAACTTATTGCATTTTATTGTTACACAAATCCTGGAACCAGTGAGGTTTAAAGAATTGGTAAAGCAAAAGAGTCCCTATGTTTCACCCAATTTTTTCCAACCAAAGCTTTTCGGGGCTGTAGTGAAACACTGGTGGCCCTGTCACAAATGTACCAGACGGCTGAGTATGACTTCAGCAATCTACAAAATGGTACCCTATGTGTTAGTCAGACTCCAGAAGTTTTAAGGGAGTGGTTGAAACGTGGTTATGGGATTGGATCGAAGACATCTACTTGAAGAAGATGGTGGTGACCTCAAAAAAAAAAAAAAACACAACACAGTCCCAAAATGTCAATGTATTTAAAGTATATGAATGTTCTTGGAGTCTTATGACTTTCCAAATGACATAAGTTCTTTATAAAGCTTTTTTGATATATACGATGTATAAATATTTTCATTCTACAAAGCATCTCGACGTTTTAATCCTTATTCACACATTTGTTTTTGAGACATGGCACACTACATCTAAAAGAGAAGGACAGCGGAACACACACTACAGCATTCTCAGTTTTGATACAGGCTTCCTACAACAAGCTGGTAGCCTGGCAGGTCATCAGGAAAGTGCGACGGCGCCAAGGATCGAGGTACATCCTTGGGGACGTCACTCTTCACTAATGAGCGGACCGGCTGCAATGGGAGTTGACTAAAAGCACCAGCCTGTACTTTGAGTTGGCCGACACACGCACATTTAAAAAATGACACTATTTTGGCTTTCCTAACCTAACACATGGCTGCCATCCAGATCTCATCAACCTGTAACAGACTAAAAGTCGACCCAATCTCATCCTGCGGTGGAACTGGGATCTTAAAAAAATAAAAAACATACACTTTAGCATTCCAGGAACTGTATCTACTGAATAACATCTAACCTGGCGTCTAGGAGTGAACTGAACCTGTAAAAGTTGACAATTGTAGGGTTAACTGTTCAGAGGGTAGACGTGGTGTATCATTTTCACAGAAAATTAGCTTTTTGTATCCCGGAGAGGAGCGGCGACTCCGCCTCACTGGTGCTTGTCGGTAAAGTTCTCGGGGAATACTCCTCGGTGGTGTTCGAATTCTTTGTTTTGGAGCCAGTCGCTCTCCTTAATTCCCATTAGCCAGCCTTCATCCTGCAAGAAAGAAGGACACGTTTCATGTGACCCATGCCACTGAGAAAGCAGCCTATGACATTTCATCAATCGAGCTGACTTGCTTCGGGTAGGTTGCTCCTATATACCAGAATACCCCCAAACGAGGAGGGAGCTTTGAGAAGAATCCAACTATACAATCAATGTTAATTTTGACAGCAAATTCGATTTAGTTTTGCTCATCTGAATTGGTTTAGTTGACTAAATATCATAAGATATTAGTAGACTAAATCTACAGTAGATGGAGTCTACTAAAATCTAACGGGTTTAAGTTAAAGAGTAATTTAAGAATTTCCGGTATCATTATATACTCCCGGGAATAAACATCTGTTAACCTGTTATTACTTATGGTATTAGGGTTTGGACATGCAATACAGACACAGATGTAACGGTTGTGATATATAACTTGTTTTTATTTGTCTTGCAATTAGATGAAACCGAATCTTATGAAGAGACAATAATATTGAGTATTTTCAACAAAGGGCCAGTCGTTAGATATGCAATGATTCAAACAACTTGCATAGGACATCAGAATCTTCAGAAATGCAACTCTAAAATATTTTTTTTTAAAGTAGGGATGCACCAATACCAGTTTTTCGGTATCGAGTAACAATATTTTTCTTTCGGTACTCGCCGATACCGAATACAGATACCGGAAGTCCCATTAAGGAAGCAGGGTAGTGTAATTACTCGCCACCCGGCTTCCCGATTACCAGGGAAGCCGTATCCATGCTTCTCGTCACTTGATGACGAGAGAGCATGGAGCCGGCTTTCTGGCCAATAACGAAGCCGGGCACTGTGTAATGACGGTGCCCCTGGCTTCCTGATTGGCCAGGAAGCCAGCTCCATGCTCCCTCATCACGAGGGAGTAAGAAGCCGGCTTCCCGGCCAGAGAGCCAGGCGCCTATTCATTACACGGCACCTGGCTTCCTGATTGGCCAGCTTCCTGACCAATCAGGAAGCCAGGCAGCGAGTCATTACACGCTGCCTGGCTTCCTGATTAGACGGGAAGCCGGCTCCATGCTCCCTCGTCACAAGTGATGAGGGAGCATGGAGCCGGCTTCCCGTCTAATCAGGAAGCCAGGCAGCGTGTAATGACTCGCTGCCCGGCTTCCTGATACCGGAAGTTCGGGGATCGGGCTAGGCATCAGAGCATTTGGGCAAGTACGAGTACTCACCCAAATGCTCTGCATCTGCACCGATACTGATAATAGTATCGGTGCATCCCTAATGAAAGGCTATATTGGCTTTTATGCCATTGCACATATTACCTATGAGCCATCCATTCAGGATGGAACCGGAAGTCCAAAAAGAGGAGTTCTGATTGGAACTCTTCCCAAATCGTCTCTCCCGAACATTTTAGTCTAGTGTTAGTTAGTCGACCAAAATGTCAATATATTTTCGTTATAGTTTTAGTCATAACTTTTATTTACTTTGTTATTTAGTTTTGGTCACTGAAAAAGGTGTTGACAAACTCTTAGTGGACAAAATTAACACTGTATACAAGAAGCAGTTGAAAGAAAGTCAACACGTTTCATGATTCAGACACTTCCCCCCCCCCTTCATCAGGGCTTGTAAACTTTTTTTGAAAGAAAGTCAACACGGTTCATGATTCAGACCCTTCCCCCCCCCCCCTTCATCAGGGCTTGTAAACTGTATAATTTAAAATGTGGCTGGACTCAACTTGGTTTGAAATAATAGCTGGATATACATTATGTATATGTGGAATAAGATTCCGTCACTAGCAGTTCTTCATTCCAAGTGAAGCCCATCCCAATCAAAATTAAGATAGATAAGATAGATAAGATAGATAAGATAGATAAGATAGATAAGATAGATAAGATAGATAAGATAGATAAGATAGATCAGCAACCCCTTAGATAGCAAAGACTTGCCCTTTTTGTTTACATCTCTTTGCCTATCACACTTTTATACATCTAAGCATGTTCTAATTCCAGCAGGTTGCTGCTGATTGATGATTGCTATTAAGAAAAAAAAAAAAGAAAGACATTGTAGATATTAAGAGAGAGAGAGAGAGAGAGAGATTGATAGATAAATTGATACATAGGAATGATAGATATAGATAGATAGAGATAGATAGATAGATAGATAGATAGATAGATAGATAGATAGATAGATAGATAGATAGATAGATAGATAGATAGATAGAGATAGATATAGGATTGTTCACCTGCTCATCTGGGTTGTCAAACTGAGTCACTAAAACAACATCTCCTACTGCACCCAGTGAAAAATAAATATTCACAAATTATCTAAAAAAAAGAGAAAGTACCATGGAGAAGTCCCTGCCCCTGCAGCATCCAATCGGATGTTATTTGCCAGACTGGGTTCCAACCAATGAAACATATGAGACAACAACCTTTCACCAGCAGGTGATGTATTATATGATCATACAAAGGGGAAACATAGGAATTTACAGGTCAAAGAACAAAAACTCGCTCATATACAGTACATCTCATTACGTGATCAGTCATATCAGTGAGGGCATACGTGGGTTTTCCTGCATTTTAAAGCCTGACTTTTCAGAGGGGGGGTGATACCAAAATGACCAAGTCATTTTGGTGTCACCCGGGTGCGGGCCGCACCCCCCTTGTTACGCCACTGGCATTACACAGTACCCTTGCATGGCTATTATTATACAGAATTTATATAGCACCAACAATTTGCACAGCGCTTTACATGGAGGAGACAGTACAGTTACAATACAATACAGTTTCAGTACAATAAGGTTAGGAGGGCCCTGTGCTTGTATGGTTTGCATGACTATGCTCTGGTTAACAATGGGTGTGGCAGAAACACATGAACGCAATAATTTGAAAGGAGTGGGTGGGAACATAATTTTGCCCATATAATGTACATGAATTACAGTAATTGGAGACATTTTCTCATCTTGGACAACTTGTATAGAAAAAAGTATTTGTCTAGTTCTGCAAAACACAGGTTGTACCACCTTCACTCCCTACCTTGTATACGTATCCAGGGGGCATGTTGGTCTTTGGAGGAGCGCTCTCCACTGTACCATTCACGGTGGCGGAAAATGTCTCAACAACGACAGCTGGGAGGGAGCTGGGTTGCTGCAGGAATAACAGGTACAACATTTTAATAAAAGGAAAATTGGCTACATGCTGATGCATTTGTGATCAATAACATTAACTGGCCTTTCAGCTACACTTGTGGCATTCCTATACTCTACACTGTACATATTGCCAATGTCCTGAAAATGCATCTGGGACCATCGATCTCTACAGAGACAGGTTGGCTACATGCTGATACCATTACGATCCATAACATTAACTGGCCTGTCAACCACACCTGTGGCATGGTCTTCTCTATACTGTACATATTGCCAATGTCCTGAGAACCCATCTGGGCCCATTGGTCTCTACGGAGAAACACATTGGCTACATGCGGATACTATTGTGATCATTGTGAACATTAACTGGCCCTTCAACCACACTTGTGGAATTCTCTTTTCTACATCCCGAGAATCCATCTGGACCCACTGGTCTATAGGGAGATGCCTCTGTTATAGAATTGGAGATGTCGATATTAAGGCCCACCACTCTACCAACACGCCTTTCAACCGGACGACCCTCTACTAGGTATGGGAGAAATGGTCTTACATTTGCATCCTTCTCTGCGGCTTTCACTTCTGCCTCCTTCTCAGCTGGTTCTGATGTCTGAAAATTAAAAAGAGGATAATTAATCATTAAATTTGTTGAAATACCATGCAAAGGTTCTAAGAAAGAATAAAAAAATGAATGGATAACATCGGGAGACAGAGAATTCAGGAAAGGCTGCTCCTTCTATTGGTGTCAGGTTGGAGGTTGGAGTTTTTGAGGGGCAGCCAAAACACTTTATGTAACAAGCTTGGTGTATTAATGTAGAGTCAGCACACTCGGGCTTAGAATAGACAAAACCACTGGTGTTCATCTCAAACATATCGGCAGAGTACCACCAAGGACTGCAGATAAAGCAAGCACTGGAACTTCTAAGGAATTTGAGGATCCTAATGGTGATCCAATTAAAGTCCAGAATCAGTCCTTTAAGAATCTGCAGTATTTCAATAAGGCCAAAACAAAACCCAGGAGAACAATATATTGGGAGGTGTAAAACCACCCACTGACACAAGACCTCACCAAACCTTTGGCCAATTCCTTGGCCAAACAGGTTTCATACACAAGATCAGTCTAACCACAAACCTCCTTTCTACCACAAAAATCACACTCACAAAAAGCACCAGCAACGGTGGCAGATACAATAATGCTTCCAAATACATCTGGTAATAGTTTTGATATTCAACTGGTTCTGGAATGTTAAAGAGGTTTCACCATTTTTCCAAGTGGTTTTCCCAGTTTATGAAATGACCAACATTACGGAACACATTTAGATGAATGTAACTACTACCAGCTGTACCATAACCTGGATGGTTGAATACATTCACAGATATACTTCCACCTCCTGGAAATGTGCTAGTGTATTGTGGGTGCAACCAGCAATTTTCTTAACATGGCAAACATCGTACAATAGAAATGACATGACAAAATTACACTCGCCCCCTCCCCCCCCCAAAAAATTATAATATATAGTTAAAAAGACCTTAGAAAGGATCACTTTAATTAAAACCTATCTTCATATGAAGCAAACAATAAAACCCCATTTCAGTGGGGCTACCCATGCAATGCAAGGCATAACTGCTTGTTATCGTCTAGGGGTATTACGTCAATCAATTTTATTTACCTAATCCTTGCTCTCCCCAACAGTCGGGGCTCACCTCTCTGCCCTTCGCTCCGGCTTGTGGACTGTCCCTTCGCATCCTCATGTCTAATACAGGGCTATGAGCCCTGCATTATTTGTGACGATGTCAGCAAGCCTCCGACCACCGGAGTGCAGGGAGGGAGAGAGGCTGATGGTAGCAGTATTAAAGCCTTTGGGAGTGATGATCAGGTAAGTAAAAGTACTTTACCAAGATTCCCTAGACAAAAACAAGCAGTTAACCCTTCTAGTGGGGCTATTTTTTTTTTTTTATACCTGGAGAGGCTACAAAGTGCACCTGTGTTTTGCCTACGTAGAGCAAAGCAAAATGTTCATTTTAGAGCAAACCTATCCAGTTGCATATACTCCTTTCCCTTCATGCCCCTGCTACCTTGGTAAGGGACATGCATAGTACTTTCAGGTATAAGGCAGCATGTGATGCATTTCACTTATTCCCATGTCCTATAGCTTGGCGATTGCCAACTAAACCACCAGTGCTCTCACATGAAGGGAGCAGGGAGAAAGTATTCGCCCCTATGAAAGCTCCAACTTAGATGGTGTTGGAATATTCCAGGGGCTCCTTTTACTTGCTCCATAGGGCAGTGGAGCATAAGGGTGGGCATGCATGTGCAGCACATGGAGATGCCTCTAATATTAACTTAGTCTTTTGGGGGCAAAATCATCTATAAAAAATGTTGAGCAAGGGTTAAAAAATTATTTACTGAAATAAAAATAACTCAATACGACAGTACTGCAGGTTTGTAGTCAGCGCTGCATTCTACGATTA